CAGATTGAGGACAGAAACCTGTTGGTCAGTCCCAACTTGAGTAGATCCACAAATCAGTTGTTGCATCTTGAGTCAACATGTAGATAAATCTAACAGATTTAAGCCTGAGAGTGTTGTGTATCAATTTCATACCCTGTAACATTAACAATTTGGCAGGGACTGTCCTGATTAATCCTCTATTGTCCCGTTTTTTCAGCTGCTTTTAAAATGTTCCAGTTTCTCTCTCCTCCTCTTATTTTCCTCCTTTGTCCTCAGCTTAGTTCAGTCCTGCAAGCTGATAAAGGTGCAAAAGTATTTGCACAATAGGTGAGGCTTGGCTTCATAGTTTTAGGAAGGAATAGTGGAGGAGGAGGGTTCTATGGTTGTGTGAACTTAAAACACTGGAAATGACTTGTGTGACAATTCCCTTAAGCTAAGAGTGGGGAAACCCTGGACCAATCCTCCCCCCTAATATTTTTAGATGACAATTCTTGCAATGCATCACCGTTGACCATGCTGGGTGGAGAAAGAAAGGAGCTGGGAGGACCAAGGTCCCCCTTTGCTTAAAGTGCTTTAGGCTTTGTATTGTAGCTACTCCCACTTTCACTCAGCAACCTCAATTCCTAGCTGTATTACTCATCTTTGTGATAGGAATAGCTAACTGAAATCAGTTCATTTATGCATTTTCTAACAAATAAGGGGAACTAATTTAAACTTATCTTTTAACTTAATTGATTGATTGAGGCCTTGCATACGCAGGCCAAATAAAAGACTCCCCTCTCTTTTCAGCAGGGAGTCTGGACAACACATGGCCCAAACTCCAGTGCTGGTGTGAACAGATCAGATGATGTCTGGCCCATCCAGTGCCAAACCTGGGGTAGACCCCTCTTAATTTCTTTTGTTGTTGTGTGCCTTCAAGTTGTTTCTGACTTATGGTGACCCTAAGGCTATAGGGATTTTCTTTAAAAGATTTGTTCAGAGGTGGTTTGCCATTGTCTTCTCCTGAAACTGAGAGCATGTGATTTACTCAAGGTCACCCAGTGGGTTTCATGGTTGAGCTGGGAATCGAACCCTGGTCTCAGAGTCATAGTCCGATGCCCAAACCACTATATCATGCATCCTGGAAGATGTAGAGTCCTCTGTTGTGACTCCAGGTGGCTGTTTAAAATGTGTCCCATTGTGCTGCTATGCTCTTGTGTGTCATCTACTTTTTGGTTAGAACAAGGGGCCAAGTTATGTGATCGAGGCCAAGCGTCTTATTCTGACCTCAGAACGAAGTGACCCACCAGGTAGTTGCATTCAGGTAGTCCTCCTGTATTCTTCTCTATTCTACTCTAAATAGAGGCTCTTTGTCTGTCCCAGCATATTTAGTTTTTAAACTCTTAACCTTGGGTCTTTTGGATCCTGTGGTAAGCTAAAGAAAGTGTGAGTTTAAAGTGATGATATTACAGTAGAGAGAGAAAAGGAGAGGTGTTTGAGTAGTGCGAACCAGAAATGGGGTTTTCAAAAAGTTAATCCAGTTGTTTCTTTTTGTCCTGGACTCAAATACAAAAAGAAACAACTGGATGAACTTTTTGAAAACTAAGAGAAAACTGGTGGGGAGTAAAATGGAAGATGGCACTTTCAAGCTTAATTCTGATAACTGGAAGCTGATAACTTACACAACCATATGACAGATCTTGTCTGGCAGGCCGTTCCATAGTCTGGTAGCGGTTGCTGAGAAGGCTCTCTGGGCGGTTGCAGACAGCCTAGATTTTAATGGTTGGAGCAAGTTCCTCCCAGAGTGTGTGGGGAGGATTGTAAGGGAGGAGGTGGTCCCAAAGATAGGTGAGACCCAAGCCATTTAGGGCTTTAAAGGTCATAACCAACACCTTATACTGGGCCTGGAAACTAATAGGCAGCCAGTGTAGTGATTTTAAGACCGGTGTTATATGGTCTCTCCTAGATGTACCAGAGGCCAGCCTGGCTGCCATGTTCTGTACTAGTTGGAGTTCCTGGACTAACCATGAGAGTAGCCCCATGTAGAGCGCATTACAGGAGTCAAGACGGGAGGTTACCAGAGCGTGTACCACAGTTTCAAGATCCCTTACTTCCAGGAAAGGGCACAGCTGGCGTATCAGCCAAAGCTGATAACAGGCGCTCCTGACTGTCGCATTTACCTGATTAATCATCTGGAGCGACGGATCCAGGAGCACCTCCAGACTGTGAACACAGTCCTTCGCGGAGAGTGTGACCCCATCCAGGACTGGAGGTTGTATCCCAATACCTAGTTTCGGGGCTGCTACTGTTAGTACCTCTGTTTTGTCTGGATTCAATCTCAATCTGTTTGTCCTCATCCAGCCCATTACTGATTTAAGACAGTCATTAAGAGGAGAGACGCCATCTGAAGTCATAGCCGACTACCAAGACATGGAGAAGTATATCTGGGTGTTATCAGAGTACTGATAACACCCCGCCCCATGCCTCTAGATAATCTCTCCCAGCGCCTTCATATATATATTGAACAACATCAGGGACAGGATGGTGCCTTGCGGAACACCACAATTAAGCTCCTTCTTAGTGGAGTAACTGTCCCCAAGCCTCACCCTCTGGGATCTGACCGAGAGGAAGGAATGAAGCCACTGCAATGCAGTGCCTCCAATTCCTAACCTTCTCAGGCAATCCAAGAAGATGTTATGATCTATTGTATCAAAAGCCGCTGAGAGGTCTAAGAGCACCCACAAGGTCACTCTACCCCTGTCGATGCTCAGATGCAGATCATCAGTCAAGGCAACCATG